GCACCGGAACACTCCGGTGAACTTTGGATTGAAGCTCCCCCTGGCGACAATGATAACAGTCCCGATGGCGAGGCAAGTGATCCTGGCGCACATGCTGATCCCAGGACGGTTCGGCTCGCTCAGAGAAGGTGGCACGCGCGACCCGAACCCCAGGACCCCACCCCGAATCCCCATCTGAGTCACAAGATGACCGGGAGCGTGATCGAGGTCTCGCAGGATACGCCGGTCGATGGCGAGTACCGGCCGTGCAGTTCAAAGACACTTGATGTTGCAGAAAGTCGTAAATGGCCTGAACAAGGCCAGGAGCCCACTCTGCCCAACCAGACGTCTGACCTATCAAACCCTGACCAGGTCGCGAGTGCACGGGCAAACCATGACCAAGCCCTCGAGTTGATTGCAAACACCCGACGCCCTGAATAGCCAAAGTAGTGGGTTTGCGGCGCTCATGACCAAGTGGACCCTGATCCAGCGAAAGCATGGTCACAGGCTCGGCGCGGGCATACTCCAGCCAAGCCGGCGTACGCCACCAAGACGGATAAAGACGACCCTGGCCATCAGCAGGAGAATCAAAGACGGTCATAGGGTCCTCTGGCGACTCCAAAACCGAACACCATGACAAATCCAGGCGCTGACGACCATGACGACCGACCGTAGCAAGGTAGAGATGTTTCAAGTATAGCAAAGTATCCTGATCCACATAGGCCTGCTCACACTGAGACAACCCTGCAAGTCCATATGCATCCTCCCCCGTACCCCGCAGTGGGCGAGGTCCATCCGAACCAGCATCATGGTGACGGGAAGCTGAGTAAGTCTTACCGGGCGGACCACCGATCAAACCAGCGACACGCCCTTGAGCAGCAAGACCCAAAAGGAACCCAAAACTTTCCGGATTGTGCAAATCCTCCTCCACGTCAACATCTATCACAGGCCAGGGTAGATTCTTGAACTTGCCTTTGGAGGCTCCAGAAAACAAATGACATGCTCTGATCCGCGGCCACGGTCCCCTGGTGATTGCTGGGACAGCTAAATCCGGAAGCAAACGAGCGAGAACACTAGGAACGGTACCAAGGAACCATCGTAGAAGATCATCCCCACTATCCCAAACACTGCTGACAGCTTCAGCAAAAGACATGGCAATCGGCTGGGCCAGAGCGGCCACGCGACGTGCATGTCGCAAGTGAGCCTGTTCGACCTGATTAATCAAATCCATGGCCAGTTGGCCTGTGACCTCAGGACAACCGGAGCTCTGATCTAAAGGCAGCGGGGCATGCGGAGGTTTCCACACCTGGATGCCCTGGTCGCAAGTACGACATCCTATACCCCAGCTTAACAAGCTCATGCAGCGCAACAATCGGCTCCACCAGTTCACGAGTGATGAGTATCCCCGTGGAAGTCTGACGGATCCCATCTGAATCCCCAACCGCGAGGCACATTCTCACAGGATAAGCACCTTCCCACGCAAGCTCACTACGGGCTTGACGCAAACACGCCGTTGCCCCCCCATCAATCAAACCCTTACGGGGAACCTGTTGCAGCTTGCAAGCTTGCGCGGCACAAAGCCTTCAAGGACCTGAGCGAGTTCGTGATTGAAGCCGCTGCCTCCTGGATCACCTGAGCCGTTGATGGACCAAGACCTGGAGCCGGAGTGACCCCAGCGGGAGATGCTGCCTTGGCTGACTCAGCCTCAGCTTCAACTTTACGCACCGCAGCCTTGGGATTTGGTTGGGCTTGCGCCTTAGCCGTAGGACTCCCTGAAGTGCCCCCTCCTGGCGATGTGCATTGAGCTTTCGAATGGCTCTGACCCCCACAATTGAAGCAACGCCCCTTCATCCCCTGGGACCTGTCATGAGCATACGGACAGTTGGATCCCCTAAGACACCCCTGTTCAGATGCAAACTGTCTGCATGCCTCCTTGGTTTCACCTGTCTTCTTGGGCTTATCCCCCTGCCCCTTACCAGCCTTACCATCACCTTTCTTACCGTTGCCCTTTCCTCCACCATCCCCCTTTCCGGTTGGAGAACCTGCTTCCCCACCACCTTGTCCACCTTCGCGCTCATTGGCTAGGTTGGCAACACGGGCTTTCTTATCAGCAGGTGCGTTGAGTTACCGGGTTTCCAATTCTGCCAAGTACAATTGGGCAAGCGAAACAACCAATGGATGGGTTGGCTGATGCTCTATGCCATGTTGTAACCGGAACGCCTGCACCCGAAATACGGCCGAAGTATCACTCAGATGGCTGCTGGCTAACTTGTCAACTGCTTTCACGAGCAAGGTTGCGTCCGGACTTGACAGCTGAAGTTCCGACGCTCTGGCGAGCCACCGAATCCACCTACGCAACCCCTTCACAGCTGCACCAACATCCTTTGGAATCTCAGGATTCACGAGGTATTGGAGTATGCTGGCTGACCTGCAGGTTGATAGCGCGTGTGAAGAAGAAAGAGGATACCTACAGGTGTAAGCGCCCGAACTGTCACGACCTCTGACTTGACAGACTGGGGGACTGATTCAAGCAGCAGGTTTGTGACCCTTTGCGATAACAAAGCACACCGAGATTCTGCTGCGGTAACACTCCCTGCCTCAATGGCCTGCTGACGGATGGTGAGGCGGGTCACCGGATCCGAACACAAACACTGAGCATAGAACTCCTGAACTTGTTGCATAATTCCTTCAAACCACCCTGTAGCACTCGGAGTGAGCGAACCCACAATGGGCGTGATGGTTACCATCCAGTCTCCAAGAATCACCGCGCCCTGCTCAGGGCTGTAGTCCTCCAACTTCGGAAGAGATTGCACGTACCTCGAGGGCTCCTCGGATCGAACCCCAGGTTGCGGGACCTCAGTTGTGGAGGTGGTGGGACCGGTACCGGTCCATAGGGCCATATCCCCGGATGACCAATTGGGCATGAATGCAGGAAACATGGACGGTGGTATCGACATCGGTACAGCTCCCGGCCAAAAGTAATCAGGAATAGGAGGGGCAGGAGCATCTTGAAAGGAAGACTGATCTACCCTATCAACCGGCGGTGCTCCCAGTGGAATGCTAGTACCACCTGGCGTTGTGTTCCTATCAGGCGGCGGCGTGACAGGCGGCGTGCAAGCAGGTGGCCTGATCTCCGTTCCCCCCGGGGTACAATCATAACGAATGATCCTAGGCTTGATTGGGGTTTTAGGGGTGCTGGGCTCATCGGGGATGCACTGCGGCATGCTTACATCGGACGAGCCCCGTTCACCAGACTCTCCAATGAAGAACTGCTCAGCTCGCCTAACCTGCGCAACTGGAAGAGATCTATCCTGAACACTCCCAAAACCTGAAGTCCCCTGAACATGTGAATCCGGATCAATGGTAGTATGCAAAGCTTGGTGCTCTGACTCCAGAGGGACATGGACCTGACCACGGCCTGGATCTTGCATAGTCTGCGCTGGGAACTGCACGCTGGCGCTCCCGACATGTGGCAAACCTACACCTGGTCCCACAACCACTCCAGCTAACCCCGAGCCCGAACCTTGACCTGGACCGTGACTCAAAGGAATCTGCATCTGACCGTGCACTGATGTTGGCCCTAACCCTGGCACTAGACCTCCCAACAACCTCGGATCAACACCATGAACCTGACTTGGATCTTGATTCAGCGAACCCTGCGTTGGACAATGCATGGGTGCATTGCCTGAGCCTGGCAATAAAGGTTCCCTAGGTCCAGCAGAAGATTTCGGAACTTGCATCGGTAGAGCTGCGGGTCTTTGGGCACGACGGCTACCCATACTAGAATCAGACTCAAGACTAAGACCCTGAAAACCAACCCCCAACCCACCCCAATGAGCGGCTTGTGGTGGCTCCCGTCCTGGGCGCGACTGCAATGAGATCGATCCTGAGCGCCTGTGCGATCATCCTCCAAGCGCTCCATACGAACCAACATGGACTCCATCATTGAAGTCAAGCGGTCATAAGAACGCTGCTCATCTGAGCTCGGTTCTCTGCCTCGCAGAACTCTACCCGACTCTGGCAAGCGACCCCGTTCCATGGAAGACCACACGGAAGGTTGAGGAGAGCTAGATCTCTTCACACTGCGTACAGGCGTCAAGGCTTGCAAAGGCATCGCAAGGCCACCTGGAAATTGCGCCGATCGTGTCCCCTCAAGGCCTAAAGCATCATGAACACTATGCTCTCTAGAGATAACATCAGGAGCATCAGAGGCTCTGCCACCGCCCGCGGTATCATGATACGAAGGCTCAGCTTGGCGATCATCTATGCGCACTTCCTGTCTATGCTGCGCAAACTCAGCATCTCCACTTTCTGGTCCAACTTGCGGTCCAGCAGAAGCAGCTTCAGCAGATTGCATAGCGGAGCTAGCACCGGAGCCATTGCTTGGGCTCATAACCCCGGCTTAACAAAGGGGACCTTGGACCTAGCCGGGGCACCGCTACACCGAAGTAACTAGCTACGGACTCAAGCCTCAAGAACCCACGAGAGAACGACCCTCCCCGAAGAGCCCTGAAGAGAAACCCAATCCCAGGACCGGCTCTTTTTCTTGAGCCAAATGCAAAACCCCCAAGTTGCGTGTCATCCTTGCGCTGGGGCCAGGACCTTCGCAGAGCTGTTCACATGGAGCTTTCTCCACTTCAGCCTACGTCCTGTTCACATGGAGTCCTTCTCCACTTCAGTCTACATCTGCGCACTGAACCCCTAAAAACCCTTGCTAACATAACACAAACCCTTAGACCCTGAATCCCCAAATGTCCATCCCTGTTTTCCCTTTTCTGTTTGACCTGCAAGGCGACCGACCGCAGGCACACGAGTCAAGCCCGTATGGGAAAAGACGTGGAGGCCCGAAGCTCTGTGGGTTTCGGGGTTTGTTTTCGGTCGGTGGGTTGGTTGTGTCTCTTAGTGTTTAACATTGGTAGCGGAGCTCGGGCCGCGGTCCCGGGCGTTAGTGGTCTTCAGGGTTTCGGTCTTCACAGGGTGGTCTTTTCGTGAGCTTCGGGTTTTTCCTTCCTCGTTGTGCAATGGCGACGACGGCAGAAGCGCCGCCGCAGCCTCCAGCGGCAGATGTTCAGCCTGCTGGTGAGCAGACGGCTACCGAGGATCCTTGGAGCGAAGAAGCCCAAGACCCATGGGCTGGGTCTTGGTCACCGGCTCCAGGGGGCGAGGCGGCTACAGACGATCAGGGCCGTGATCGATGGTGGCCCAACCGCGGCGACGAGTGGCGTCAGTCTAGATGGGAGACTGACAACGGGTGGTCCGATGCCCGCTGGAGTGACGGCTGGCATCACTCTAGTGGCCAAGATTGGTCACACTCGGGGGGCCAAGACTGGTCCCAGGACGCGGGAAGTACGACGACTGCCGGCGACAATGGAGCGTCTACAGATCAATCCTGGTGTAGGCGTGCTTCGGACTCTTGGGACTCCAGATGGGGAGCCAACGGAGGTGATGGGCGAGGCCGTGATCACCAACAGTGGCGTCCGTCTGGAGAGACTGGTCGTGATGAAGCCACCCAGGATGTGCGCAAAGGCGCTCCGTCGGAGCGCATGGCGGTCCCGACTTTCTCTGCAGATGCTTCCGGGGATGATCTAGGCTCCAGCGCAAGAAGCTATCTACGCCAGGTCGACGCCTGGATCAAGGTCACCCGTACAGCTCCGGACCAGCGGGCTTTGATACTCTACCAGAACCTGGCGGGACGAGCCTGGGTGGAGGCAGAGGAGCTCGATGTGGAGCGCTTAGCCTCTCCGGATGGAGTGGACTTCTACCGCAAGTGGATCCAGGAACGCTACCAAGAGGTGGAGGTCAGCAAGATCGCGGAGGCTTTGACGCACTTCTTCAAGCGCATGAAGAGGAGTCCTGGCCAGAGCGTTCGGGAATTTAATAGTTCCTTTGACAGGGCCTATACGAGACTCCTTGAGATAGACTGCAGACTTCCTGAAGTGGCCAGGGCTTGGGCGTACTTACATGCCATGGGACTTACGGCTTCGGAGGAGTTAGCTCTTCTTGCTTCAGTGGGTAACGAGTACAGTCCTAGTCGTCTCCAGAAAGCAGCGATCATGCATGAGAAGAGCCTCAAGGGACCGTGGACTTTCCGCAAAGGGCCAGGTGCTCCAGGGGGCTACGATGGACGCCGCGTCACCAAGGCCTACCTCACTGGCCTGGCTGGAGACGACGATGAAGAAGAAGACGATGACGCCGAGGCCATTCCTGAAGAACTTGCATGTGAACTTCATGAAGCATATGTTGCTCAGGAGGCAGCTAAGTCCAGATACAAGGACCTCGTAAAGTCCAGAGGCTTCGACATGGATACCAGCGCTACCCCTGGACGAGGTCAAGATCGCACAGCTGCAGAACGCCTCCAGTTGGCGAAGAGCCGATCGTTTTGCGCAGGTTGCAAGCGACGGGGGCACTGGCACCGGGATCCAGAATGTCCTCTCAATGGCGGTCGAAAGGATCCTACATCGACTACGGCGACTTCGGGGAGTTCGGCGGCTAAGAGCGACGGCGATGCGAAGGGCGGGCACACTAAGGACTCCTACGTGACACACGTTGCCTACGTCGTGGGCGAGGTTCCTACGACCGAGCTGATGGCGATCACTGATTGCGCTTGCAGCAAATCGGTGGCTGGACAAGCCTGGCTGGAGAGCTACACAAAGGCGGCGAAGAGATGTGGCGTGGAGGTCCCTCTCCACAACTGCGATGAGAACTTCCGCTTCGGTGCGAGCCGGGTTTTCCATGCTAACTACCTCGCCACGGTCACCTTCCAGCTGGGCAAGAGCACTGTGATGATCCGCGTGGCAATCGTCAATGGCGAAGTGCCGTTGCTGCTGAGCCGTTCGGTGTTGGCCGAACTCGGAATGGTCTTTGACATGGCCCACCACACGGCGGACTTTGTCGCCCTCGGCGTCTTCAAGTACCGCCTCCTCTACACGGAAACGGGCCATCCAGCTTTGCCGGTGAATCCTCAGAAGGTTCCGAATTTTGTCTTCCCAGACCCCCAAGAGTGGGGAGCTGACGAGATCAAGATTGCCTCTTCGCGCCAGCAGCAATACACGGCTTTTGTCATGAGCGAAGTTTGTGATGGGGGCCCAGATAGTCGTTCTGCTGGAGTTGCTGCTCACAGTGTGTCTTCGAAGTTGTTCTTCAGCAAGAAGGTCAGTGCTGTAGTCCACAACATGCTTACGGCTGACGTCTTGAATCCAGTCCTCTTTAGCCAATGGTGGTCCGAAACAAACTTATCTAACGACTTTTGGATTGAGACCCATGACGTCCTCTACAGAATCCACATCATCCCCAGGAAATCTCTGTTTCGGCCCGACCGTTGGACTGCACCCGATGAAAACCTCAAAGCCCTACTCCTTAGCGAGATCGGCAGCATCAGGAGCACATGGCCAATTGCGTGTTCAGATCATCGAGCCTCCCAGACTGTACATGACATGTGGCATGCTGATGATTCCTCTCTGTCGATGTTGTGGATCGGCAGATCGGTGTTCGCTAGACTTTGCCCCACAGGTCCTCTCTCGACTTCCCCGCATGGCGGCGGTGACCAACGTATGGCGTGCCAACAAGAAGGACCTGATCTCCATGGCCCACGAAGCCGGCCTGACTATCCACGAAGGCTGGACGATCGGCGAGATACGCCACATCGTGATCGAGCACCGCAAGGCGAACAAGAGCGAGGTCCCGAAGGGGCTCGGGAAGATGACACTCCAGGAACTGCGCGAGAAGGCGACCGAGCTCGGAATCCACTACAAGCCGGACGCGCCGAAGGGCTACCTCCAGTTGGCCATCAGGGACAAGACGAAGGGCGCGGACGAGGAGATCGTCTGCTTTGGGAGGTACAAGAACCACCTCTACCGCGAGGTGCCCCAGAACTACCTGGACTGGGCAGTTCGCGAAGCAGCTGCAAATCCGAATGCGTCGGCCGACTTGAAGAAGCTTGCAGCTTGGGCCGAAAGCCGGAGGGAGACGAGTCGAAGCTCGAGCAGTGTGGATCCGGAGACGGTGGCCGTGCTCCCCTACGAGGCCACGGAGACGGAGTCCTCGGAGATGTCCAAGTGGTCTATGGTCAACGAGTGGAGGGGAGACCAGCTCCCGATCAAGCCGAAGGGCCGCGCCCCACTGCCTCCGAGTCAATCGTCGGGGCACCGCGGCTACAAGGAGGACCGGGCCACCAACAAGCAGACCAGGCGCGCAGCGGAAGCAAAGGACGTGGAGCAGGCGACGCCGTCCCGCATGCAACAGGACGTCCCGGAGGAGATCAAGTCGGAGCTGGAGAATTTGACGACGAGACTTGCGGTCCTGCGGGACCAGTACGGCTTGTGAATCCTTCGTTTGCTGAGGACGCCGATGGTGGCCAGGACGGCGTCCCCTACAGCAATACTGGCAAAAGGGTCCTCTTCAATCTTCCCGAGGGCCCTCATATGAACTCCGGGCCGGGCGACGGTTTGTCGCTTGGGGGAGACCAAGGCTTCGGTTCCTCGGCCACCAATGGTGGCGATATGAGCTCCGGGCCGGCCGGCATTTTGCCTGCTGGGGGAGACGATTCGGCACTACCTGAACAAGAGGATTTCTATGACTGCCACGACGGCTCCGACGATTACAAGGACGCTGGACTTCGAGAACCTCCACGTGTTTACGAGGGCTACTACAGCAACCGAGAGTTCAATGAGGACATTGAGAAGTTGGCAAAACGTCTACGGCAGAATGAACTCTACGACTACCAGAACGCCGGCGAGCTGATCAAGATGCTGTCTGTTGCTGGCGCCGGCGCCGAGAAGCGAGAGATCCATGGCAAGCAAGCCGCGACGCTCATCCTTGGAGCGTATGCCTACGGTGCTTTCTATGGACTTACCAGAGCCACCACTCAGTTCGTCGAGGCGGCCCGCTACTTGAACAACTTCCTCCGAAGACACGGGGCCAGTGGTGACTGGTCCGCTCTATCAGTCGGATGGAACCTGCGATCCTCACTCCACCGGGATCCCAACAACAGGCCCGGCACCGAGAGCCAACTTATCGCTTTCGGGGATTTTTGCGGAGGCCGGCTATGGATTGAGGAAAACGACCACTGCCCTACCACCAGCGACGGGCAAAGGGCGACCTTCAAGACTGAGGCCGGCGAGGAGATCAAGGGCACCTACCACAATGTCCACGGCGAGATCTATAAGTTCGATGCCCACAACAGGCACTACATCGAAGATTGGGAGGGCGAGCGTTTTTCTATTTCCGCCTACACGCCCCGCGGGGGCGAGAACCTCAACCAGATCCAGCTCGACACCCTCAGGACCCTCGGCTTCCCAGTTGGCCGAAAGCGGAAGGGCGGAAGGGCCGATGAAGTTCTACCTAGTCGAGATGTACAACGACGTGATCTACGACCAAGGAAAGGTGTCCGAAAAGCCATTTGGAAGAACGCTCTAAAGGTCTACGCCATGTTCACCGTGATGTTGGCTACAGCGACAAGTGTGTTGTCGGAGCTTGATGTGGGCCCCAGGCATAGCGATTACAAGACCGCTATCCTCGAAATCGGCGGCAAGGACAACACCCTTGCGGCGGCGGAGCTTGGACAGAGCGTTGTCGAACCCCTCAGCACGACCGAGTTCCTCGAGGACATCGGGCTACGGCAACTACGTGGTCTACTTGATGCGTTCTCCCCACGGGTTTTGTGGATGTGCGAAGAAAGCGGACAAGCGCTACCACACCACCCCGTCCTTGAGGCAGGCGCTGCGCAGTTGACGAGGAGCGGAACTTTCGTTTTTCAGCAGTCCCTGGACAACGCCACGGACTGGGCAGTGACCTTCGAGGACCACTTTAGGCACTACGACCGGGAGACCCACGTCACCCACGACGACATCACCTACGTCATCCGCGCGGGACCAACAGCTGGGGATCCTGGTGAACAGACTTGTTTTGCAGTTGATCGAGAACGAGATGGAGCGGATGCACCAGGACCAAGAGGGGCAAGTGCCATTTCGTTTCCAGACACGGTGCCGATACATGTTCAGGCACCACTGACGCGCTTGCATCAGAATCTAGGTCACCCCAGTGTTGGCGACTTGGTCCGTCACTTGAAGTATGCTGGCGCAGAGGAATCCGTCCTCAAAGCTGCTAAAGCGCTCAGGTGCCAAGTTTGTGATCGCAACAAAAGGACGCACGCCCCGCGACCAGCAGCACTACCTTCACTACTAGATTTCAACTCCCTCGTCTCCGTTGATGTCTTCCATGTCTTTGATGCCAATCGCAAACGACATGCACTGTTGTCGATCATCGACCACGCCACCACCTACCACATCGCTTACCGTCTCCACGGCCACTCGACCCAGGACTATGAGAATGCGTTCATCCATGGCTGGGGGAACTCTTTTGGATCGCCAGTGACTTTGTCTGCCGATCTAGAGACTGGACTACAAGCGGGCCTAACCAGGTATGCCGAGTTCTGTGGAGTCCGCATGCGGCGCTCCGCTGGGCAAGCGCACTGGCAACAAGGATTGGTCGAAAGGCACCAGATGTGGTACGAGGACATCATTCGGCGGGTCATCGACGAGCAGGCGGTGACGGAAGAGGACATTGACATGGCCATAGCCTGTGTGAACCAGGCGAAGAATCAACTACGGAGACGGCACGGATTCTCGCCGTCCCAAGCTGTGTTCGGTAAGGACCCTTCTACGCCAGGCGACCTTCTCGCTGGACAAGATGAAGAACGTTTTCTGGAGATCATGACCGCGGACCGGAAGCGGCAGAAGGAGGTCAATATTAGAAACGCGGCCAGAGTGGCTTTCTTCAGGTCGCAAACAGATGCCCGACTTCGCCGAGCATTGATCCAACGAGCTAGGGTCAAGCACACCGCCTACCACATCGGGGAAATGGTTTGCTTCTTCCGCATCGAAAAGAGTGCCACGAAACGCGGCATTTGGCGGGGCCCTGGCGTGCTGGTCGGATGTGAAGGTCCTACGAACTGGTGGGTCTCATACGGTGGCCGCTGTCATCTTGTTGCCGAAGAACATCTCCGGCCTTCTACCGCGGAGGAGTTGAACGAGCTACTGTCTACCAGAGTGGCGAAAGAAGACCTGGATCGGTTGCTCCGGAACAATCCCGACGATCCCGAAGTCTTTGAGCCAGAGGACGAGAACGAGAAGGACTTGGATCTGGAGGACTATGAGCCCTCTCTTGTTGACGATCAAGACTTCGAGTTCAAGTTCCCGGCCGGTGACACCGAGATGTTGGATTCGGACATCGACAAAGATCTGCTTCCCCCTGATGTTCAGGCTCCCGGCTCTTCGGGTGACTATGGTCCGGTGCCCCGTAGGATCACCGGAAAGCGCAGCGGCAGTCGAGGCGCCCCATACACCGCCCTGATGTTGAAACAGGCCGCTACGGAGAGATCGCGGGAGAAGCAGCACGAGAAGGAGCTACCATGGCGGCTTATCCCGCCATCGGAACATGAGGGCTTCAAGAGTGCAGAGGACAAACAGATCCGGGAGCACTTGGACAGCAAGGCCCTCACACCGCTCTCTGTGGAAGAAAGCGCGGAGATCGAGAAGACGGTTCATCCGTCTCGCATCCTGGGCTCTCGATGGGCCTACCGAGACAAGAACTACAGCAAGCGCCGTGTTGATGAGTCTGTTCCATGGAAACACAAAAGCAGACTGGTGGTTTTCGGACACCTCGATCCCGACGTGGGCAAGGTACTCACTGATGCTCCCACCATAAACCGCTTGTCCATCCTGACCCTACTACAGTTCGTGGCCTCGAGATTGGACGACGATGATCCTTGGCGGGCCAGTGCGGGTGATGTTACTGCCGCGTTCTTGAATGGAAAGCAGATCAGCCGGCAGCTATTCATGAGACAACCACGGACCGGAGTCCGCGGCATGGCTCCAGGAACTATCTTCCGCATCGAGAAGGGCATCTTTGGACTTGTGGACTCTCCGAGGTCTTGGTGGTTGGAGTTAAAGCAGATCCTCCTCGACCTCACTGTTGAGTACCAGGGTGTCGCGTACCACTTCAAGCAGAGCATCCTGGACCCATGTGTGTTCATCCTCGTGCCCAGCTCTGACCAGGACGCGACGCCCAAGGCCTACCTGGGCGTTCATGTGGATGATCTTCTGTTGGTTGGCGGCAGCAAGTTGACCAAGGCGATTGAGAAGGCCCTAGACGCGGTGCTGCCGATCGACGAATGGGAGGACAACGAGTTTGACTACGTGGGTTCCCACGTGAAGGTCACTGCGGAGGGCGTCTACGTGGACCAGGCGGCCTACACGAACAGTCGGCTCTTCCAGATCGACATCCAGAAGGGCCAACTGGACACAGATCAAGCGACGGCTGAGCAGGCCATCGACAATAGGAGTCTGGTCGGCGCTTTGAGCTGGCTGGCTTCTCAAACACGGCCAGATCTACAGGTGTCTGTCTCCTTCGCGCAGCAGCTCCAGAAAGACCCCACAGCGTGGCGGATGTCAAGTTCACGAACGCTACTGCTAGGAGAGCGATTGAATTCCAGCAACATGGTGTTTGGCTTCGCAAACTGGACCTGGACTCCCTCGAAATCCTGGTCTTTCACGATGCCGCTTGGGCCAATGCTCTGCCACGGGACACTGGAGAAGATGATCCTGACTTCGTGCTCAGCCAGGAGGACCACGAGAAAGGGTTCATGTCGGGTACCCCGTTCGACAACAAGGACCGCAAGCCAAAGAAGGCCAACTCGAGAGTGGCCAGCCAGTACGGCCTCCTGGTGGCCCTCGGAGATCGCCGCTGCTACACGGCAGAAGGCGGACCTATCAGTCTTGTGGACTGGAAATCGTCTGCGATTCAGAGGGTGTGTCGCTCAACTTTCACCGCTGAGACGATGGCTTGCACTGAAGGGGTGGAGAATGGCCAGTACATCCGGTCATACATCCACTCGCTGCTTAGTGGTAGGCTACAGAAGGTCGAAGACCTCGCGGGAAAGAATGTACGATACTACTCTGATTGCAAATCCTTGTATGATCATTTACACAAGGAAGGAGCGACGAGAGTCTCCAGCGATAAACGGCTGGCCATAGATTTGGCTGCCCTGCGACAGTCACTCAGCGCCGAGCGCCGGGAGGGACGCTATCCTCTCCACTGGCTTCCCACCTTTAGGCAACTTGCCGATGTGTTGACTAAGCCGATGTCTCCTGAGTCTTGGTGGAAAGCCGTGGAGAATGTTGTTGCAATGACTCTCCTAACACCTGTACAATAAAGGAGAGAAGTTGCGGAAGCAGTGTCAATCCCTGTTTTCCCTTTTCTGTTTGACCTGCAAGGCGACCGACCGCAGGCACACGAGTCAAGCCCGTATGGGAAAAGACGTGGAGGCCCGAAGCTCTGTGGGTTTCGGGGTTTGTTTTCGGTCGGTGGGTTGGTTGTGTCTCTTAGTGTTTAACACCAAACCCTACAAAAACACCGAATACCAAGGCCCCTGACCCGCCCCTAAACCCCGAAATTCGTTGCCCCCCCTCTAAAACAAACACAAACCCGAAACACTGAACCCCTAAGAACCCTTACTAAAACAACACAAACCCTTAGACCCTGAATTCCCAAACCCTAAACTCCTAGATCAAAACCACCGAATACCAAAACCCCTGACCCCCCCCCTAAACCCCGAATTGAGACCCGGGAGGGAATTCTCGATGTAAGCGATCGTCGCTAGGGCCGTTCAGCTGCGGGACTCTGAGCGCGGTTATTTATTAGAAGACCAAGACCAGGGTGGGAATACTAAGTTGTTACTAGTATACCAAAACGAAAGCGAAGACCAACCCTAGAATAATCTATAGCCCCAGCCCCCAGGTACGAGTCTTAAAAATCCTTAAAACACAGCTCCCAAATTCCACTTCTATTCTTGGAGCCCCTGTATGATTTAAGGAAGCATGATGAATAACAGAAATTTCCGGAAATGACAGAACATAAAAGACGGACAAACGACGGAATAATCCGGAAATGATGAACTATGAATGACCGAAGTTTCCGGAAATCACGGACCATAACAGCCGGGAAAACAACGGAATAATTCGGGAAATGATGAAATAATGATGAAATATGAAGGACGGGAACTTCCGGAAATGGCGGAACAAAAAAACAGCAAAACGACAGAATGATCCAGAAATGATGAAAATAATGATCAAACATGAATGACGGGAATTTCAGGAAGTGACGGAACATAAAATGAAAAACGACGAAATAATCAGGAAACGTATAAATAATGATTAAATATGAATGACGGAAATGGAACATACAAGACGGAGAGACCATGGAATATGTAGAGCGGAAGTGGTGAAAAAATGGTGAAATATGCATGACGAAAACTGCCGGAAATGAGAGAACATAAAGGACGGAACAAGCCATAACATAATCCGGAAACAATGAACATGTTGATGAAATATGAATGACGGAAACTGCAGGAAATGACGGAACATAAACCACGCAAAACAACGACCTATGAATGACGGAAATTTCCGGACATGATGAAAATCATGATTAAACTGAATATGAATGACTGCAATTTCCGGAAATGACGGAACATAACACCCGGCAAAAACACGGTAATAATCAAGAAACGATGAAATAATGATGAAGCATGACTGATGGAAATTTCAAGAAATGAACATAAAAGACTGAAGAATGATGGAATGATCCGGGAAGGAACATACAAGATTGAAAAACGGCGGAATTATCCAGAAATGATGAACTAGTGATGAAATAGCAATGACGGAAATTTTCCGAAATGACGGAACATCAAAGACGGAAAAGTCCGGGAATGACTAAATCATGAATGACAGAAGTTTTCGGAAAAATGACTGTGCATAAAAGACAGAAAAGCGTCGGAACATTCCGGGATGATATATATATATATGTATATATGACGGAAATAACAGAACATAAAGGACGGCAAATCAACAGAAGAATCCGGAAATGAACACATACTCATCAAATACGAATGACGGATTTTTCCGGCAAGATAGAACACGTAAAAAACCGGACACGGTTTCGGAACTGATGGAATATCCGGAACTGGTGGAATATCGGAAATTTCCGGAATTGAGGGAATGCAAAAGCCGGAAAATCCGAACATGCTTCCGGAGGTGATGGAATATCCGGACATGATGGGTTATGAAGCGAAATGGAAGCCACACGAAACTATTCGGAAATGCGCGAATATGAAGTGGCCCTTATCGCACAGGGGGCCGGGGGCAAAGACATTTAGCCACACGAGATGCAACATGCAAGTGTTTGCTTGCGTGAAGGAAGACCATGTTTTGAGGCAGGCAATATCTCATTGAGCAGAGATTGTAGCTCCTAACAGCACATATTGTTGGGTATCCGTCTCGAAAGTAAAGGGCCCTGGGTCAGATTCCTTGCGGCCGGTCGAAACGGGAAGAGGACAGACAAATCCGGACATGATAGAATACGGCACTAATCGGGGAGAAGACGGACCACTCCAGGAAGCCCGAACATGAAACGAATCGAAAACAAAACGGTAATATCCGAGAATGTCAGGAAGACGGAAACATCCGGAAATGAGGAAAACAAAAATCGAACCGGTAAGAAGACAGAAACATCCGGAAGTTTCCCAATATGATAGACGGTAAATAATCCCTTCCCCCTAATATTAAACGCCCCCCTCCCCCCCCCCTGACTATAAACACTGATTTCCGGGATTTCGTTTTAATATTACGGGGGTTTCGGGGCATCCACGTAGCCCTAAACCTTTAAGCCTTAAAGCCCTAAGCCCTCAACCTCGAGCCCTAAACCCTAAAGCCGTCCTAAACTTTGAGAGCCCTAAAGCCCCAAGCCCGAAAGTTTTAGCCCTGAGCCTTCAACCCTAAAAGCGCTGGTCTCTTCGGTTGGATTAATACAGCTGTAATCTTTGGCTCTATTAAAACTCATACAATCCTAGCCTCCCCTAATGTTTGTAGTTAACTTTCAATTGTGGGCCCGAAGCCGCCAAGTTCTGGGGCCCGGGGAGTTTTAATTTTAGGGGGTTTAATATTAGTGGGAAGGGATTATCCGAAGATGATGGCAAAGGAAACGAATCGAGAAGAAGACGGGGAAACCGCGTCCAGAATAAAACGAAAAAATACCGAAATGTCCGAACATGAAGTTTGTAAAGCATCCGGAAATGGTGGAGAATGAAGCAAACCGGGAACAAGATGTGGAAGTCCGGAAGTGCCCGAACAGGAAAAACGGAGATATCCAGAAATGATGGAACATGAAGCGAATCAGGAAGGAGACGGCGACATCCGGAAATGTCCGAATATGAAACACGAAAACTTCAGGAAATACGGTTCGAGGCGGGAAGAAGAAGACGGAAACATCCGGAAGCCAGACAAGGCGCGCAAGGACTTTCACCACACAGAGATGAAGTGCTACATCGAGTTGCAACGAATTCAGTAGCTCAGTGACTAAAGCCCCGCCCTTACATACCGTCGTGATCGCTTCAAGGTTCGTGGAAGTGTACCCACCGTTTCGGTCATGGTCCTTGCAAGTGCACTTGCCGTCGTCTTGAAAGTCTTGCCTACGGTAGCGGCCGCCTAATTCTTGGAAGTCTATGTAGTGTCTGGATCTTGGAAGTGTGCCTTACTGTACCGTCGCCTTCCTATGAATGTGTATGCGGCGTTCGGATGCTTGATTCTTGGAAGTGTGCATGCTACCTGTCATGGTTTTCGGAAGTGTCTAATTACAATACTATTGGGAATTTCATCTACCATCGTGGCCGCCTGGTTTTTGGAAATCTGGGAGGTGTATTGACGGGTCCTACCGTTGTGGTCACGGTTCTTGGAAGTGTACCTACCGTCGTCTTTGAAGTTGTACCTAACGTCATCATCGTCGTTGTGGCCGCCTTGTTCTTGGAAGTCTACATAACGTCTGGCTTTTGGAAATGTGCCTTCCGTTGCAGTCATAGTTGTTGGAAGTCTATGTACCTACGCTTGTCTTGGAAGTTCCACCTGCCGTCGCGACCGTCTGTTCGTGGAAATGTATGTAGCGTCTGCCACCTGATTGTTGGTAGGGCGTGTGTCGCCTTTGTTCTTGGAAGTCAAACTGCCGTTGACCTGGACAGGTTTCCCGCCGTCGCGGCCGCCTGCTTGTTAGAAGTGTTGGAAAACTTTTGGCGGTGTACTTGCCGTTGTCGTCATGGTTCTTGGAAGTGTGCCTATTGTCGTCTTTGAGATTTTGCCCATCGTTGTGACCACCTGGTTCTTGGAAGTGTGTTTCGCCTGTCTAAGCAAACCTGGTCGCCCGTGTCTTGGAAGAGTGCCTACCGTTGCGGTCACCGTTTTTGAGGAAATGCCTACCGGCCTACCGTCGTGGCCGCCTGGTGCTTGGAAAAGTAAAAGTAAGTTGTGTGTCTGTGTGTGAGTGTATGTGTGTCTGTGTCTGTGTCTGTGTCTGTGCGCGTGTGCGTGTGGGTGTGGGTGTGGGTGTGGGCGCGGGTCTGGTCGCCGGCCATGTTTTTTGTCGTGGCCGCCCGGTCTTGGAAGCACACGTAGCGTCTGGAAGTGTGCCGGACATCCTCTTGGATGTTTTACTTACTGTCGAGGCTGCCTGGATCTTGACAGTGTATGCAGGGTCCGGTCGACTTGCTCTTTGTACGTCATTGTTCCTGAAAGTGTACCCACCGCCGTCTTGGAAGTTGTACCTACAGCGGTGACAGTTTGCTCCTCGGAAGTGTGTGCAGAGTCTGGTCGTCTGAATTCTGAAAGTGCATCTACCGTTGTGGCATGTGGTATTTAACGTACCATTGTGGTCAAGGTGCTTGGAAGTGGACCTACTTTATGGTCCCGGTTCTGGGAAGCTGCCAAGCAGTGTCTTGGAAGTTCTACCTAGATACACGTCCAATTGCCGGAGGACCACAACAGGCGGTAACTATACTTCCAAGCAAATGACGACCACGACAGTAGGCACAACCCCAAAAAACGAGCGTCGCAATGCTGCCGCTCACTTCCAACTGTCAAGTGGCAACGACTGTCTGCAACCTTCCAATATCAAAGCGACCGCAAGGTAGGTACACGTCCAAGAACCAGATCACAGTAGGTTTGCCTCACAGATCCAGTGGGTCAGAGCAGCAGGAACGTGGAAGTGTACCTACCATTACGGACGGCTGCTTTCTTGGAAGCGTATGTGGCGTCGCGGTCGCCTAGTTCTTGAGAAGCGTGCTTGCCGTTGTGGTCATGGTGACTCTTGGAGGTGTGCGTCGTGGTCACCAGG